AAAAGCACGAGAGAGAGACAGAAATGAAAATTCCACGCGTATAACGAGAAAAGTGGATTTGCGTTAAAACTCGCTCCTTTTTTTGTGCGCCGTTTGCACGCGCGTTACGTTATATATTAAATGTCGTTCAATTAGTTAGATAAACCTTACAACGTTCGAGTCTCGCGAACGCACCAACAAGTTTTCACTTGTCATTTATTAACGACCTCATCATTTATCGACTTGCGTGCAAGATTGTTTCGACGATAATAACAAAACGTTAAACGCCGATCAAAAGAATCGAATTGTATAACGAGATATAAAAATCAAATGTCCCGTTTTGTTGTTTGTTCCCTTCGTTTCCGCGATGCCACGTCCTTCCGTAGCGATTATCCGCGTTTACGACTGTCGCAACTGAATATAGCCCCTGGTCAGGGACGTTCTCCCCCTTCTCCCCCAAGGCCGATCTTGCTTATTCGTAACGTGACGCAGTTTGAGACCGTAAAAGCCTCGTCACGTGAATAGTACGCTGTTGCAATTTAGTGACCGTAACAATTGACGAGTTTTCGTTTCGAACATTCCGCGGAATTGTGAACTTTGTTACACTTTTGGAAGACGAGTAAAAAAACTTGAAATACAATGTGTCGATTGTATATAAATTTCCAGAGATAATGCACGCATACGCACACAAATATATACTGTTATTAATATTAAAACCCGTCTGCGGTAAGCGGATCTGGTGAACGTTAAGAGCGTTTCCGGCGCCTAGCGTGCGCAGGATGCAGACTAGGGATTATTCGCGCGGCACGTTACGGAGAGAGGAGGTGCGGCAAGAAAGACGCGAGAGAGAAGGACGTCATGAAAGTGCAATGAAACTTAGTCCGCGTGTGTAGGTAGACTTGGCGATATGATATATTCCAGATGTGGGAGCCGCGCGCGCATACTGAATGGGCACGCGTTTGAGAATGAGATTTGATAAACAGACGTGGGCGTCAGGACGTCCGTGCACCTTGATGAACTTCCTGCCAACCAAACGGATGCAGCAGTCCCGGGGAGCAAGGAGCTCGAGATCGCTAAATAATAATAATTCCTCGGGGAAACGACGGATTTTGCGTTTGTTAATTTTTTTTTTTAAAAGAAAAAAAGGATTTAAAAAATGTTTCTTCCGTAAAGAAAAAAAGTTTTTGTATTAAAATTAAAAACAATCGTTTAGAAATGGGAGAAAACAATGTTTTTTATCTCTCAGCGAAAAAGTATATGTTAAATTCTTCAATTGGGATTTCGATTAACTCAAAAATATTTTTTGAAATGTTAAATACATGCTTTTAATTGCACGAATATGTTCGAAAACACATCTATCGGTCGGTTGCTAGATCGAGCGAGCGTAGCTATCTCCGCGCTATCCTCTCTTTTGTCTTTTCCTTATTCATCTCGTGCGCACGTACACATATGCATGCGCATGTATTTTTGCAGACGTAGATTTCCCGCTATAATAACTCAGACAATGACATACCATTGTGGGCGCCAGTCTTCTTCTTGCGGTGGAAATCTCCATTCGTGAAATCATTGGCGTAAGCAATTCCAAGCGAGTCACAGCTGTGCGATACGTGCCTCGACTGCAACGTGATTACGTACTGACATAATTACAGTGTTTTTTTTTTTTTTTTTTGCCAAGTTCATGAAAAGGAAGATATGCAAAAAAACAAGCAACAATGAGACATGTTTTTTTTAGAAACCGACGATGAAGAATTATGCACGTTTCTGTTCGCTGAATAATCTTGTTGTCGAGCAAATTATTTCGCGGACGCTACTTACATATCAATATTTCGAAACGTGTTGCAACACGACGTGTTGTTAGTGTAGATTATAAAATATGTATAGCACATAAGATATATATATATATATATATATATGTATTGTTTCGTAACGCGCTGCAGACGTATCATGTTCGAATACGTATCGATATCACAATATATTATTACGCAGCGCGTCGCAAATTGCTGAACGGTTCCTGGCACTTCTGTGGCGCGCGAAGTTGATCCAAAGTAAACGACAAGTTGCATCATCATCTCGAGAGAAGATTGATAATCGAAACGATCTCGATCAGATATCCGCACTTCGCGCGCCTCGTCGCCAATAATTGCCAGGTTACGAAAAGCCGTTAACAGAGCGATAACGAAGAAGTCCGACGTGCCCCGTCGACGAGCATTGTTTCACGTAGAACGCGTTGTTTACTTCATGACGATAAGAAATTATCGTCAGTTGTTTCGCAATTCAAAGGCATCGGAAGTTACCTGACATTCTGCAACACGGTGACTTACGTGTTGCGCGGTTGCACACTCATTGCGTCTCGCGAATGATGTCGATCGTGTTATTGCGTTTGTTTTTTTTTTTTTTTTTTTTTNTAATTCCGTCTGAGCAATATCTTTCCGTTTTATCTCCGCCGGATGCGAGCTTGTAAATCGCATAACGCGAAATATCGCGAGTTAAACAAGTGTTGCAAATTTATTATCGCACTAACTGTCGCGAAATCACTCTTTAATCATAATTCGTATATAATTTTTAATTAAAAGCGATAGTTTTTTTTTTTTTTTTAATTACAAGTTTTCTCCGACATCGCGTTGTGTTTGGAAAATGCAGAGAGCAGAGTGTACACACGTGTGTCCTTGTCCCAGAAACTTGGATCAAATGCAAATTGATAACCACCTAAATCGTGAATAATGTGTCGCAACGTGTGTGTTGCGGACATTGTTTACAAGATATATTTTAGACTGAGGAATACATGTTGGAATACAGAGAGCCGGAGGGAATAAATTTGTCGATAACTTCTACTCAAAATCTCGCAATACTGAAATTTGAGCTCCGCTACGTGGCGTATGTAAATATGTTTTTGGGAATCACGCAAGCGGAACTATTAATACAATACCGTAATACGTACGCGACTCTCCCGGAATCTTCATTTATAAACGCGCACAATGCGATATTCTCGCAAATGTTATCAGTTCACGAACATTAAACACGAGGATATATATATATATATATATATTTAGCTTGACATGTACAATTTTAATTCAATTGCGAGAGAAGAGAAATTTCACATAATTTCGCTAATCAGAAAGTTGTATTTATGTTTCAGTTGTATTACATTTCACTCGCAAAAAATAAAATTTGAAAAGACATTTATTTTCTATCGGAAGAACCGATCTCCCCGATTATTTTACTCAATAGAGATAAAAATAAGCGATATAAAATATCACAATCCGATATCATTGTGTGTTACTTTCGAATAAAAGAAATACTTGACTTCTTTAACTATACACCTGCAATACCGGTGATTCATCTTACAATAAGATGTTTCTCGGATGAGTCAATAACGCAATTCCGATATCGAAAATAATATCTTCGCTATGTATTGCTTCACATTACGTCGTGTTCAAAGGTATATGAGAGTCATGCTTCATGATTTTCATCTTTGTGTTAAACCGTAATCGAGAATTCGTCATGCGTGTCATCCCGTTACACTCTTGGATATTACAAAAATCAGAGACACGTACGCGATATACTGCAATAACCGTTTACTATAATAATCAGTTTAGTTTCTCTTTTCCTTTGTCCTCCAGATTTTAGATTTTACATCGTGATAAAACGAGATAATTAATAATTAATGCTAATTAGGGACTAATTAGTAATTCATTTCTGGGATGAAGAATCATATGAAAGGGAAAGAGGTACAGAGTGAGATAACGAAACACAGATATCAAATAGATTAAAACTCATTTATTGAACATATTATATATATATATATGACATAAAAATCACGATACATAATAATGATAAACCGAAATCTATTGTGTATATATATATATATATACACACACACACACATATATATGTGTATATATATATACATATATATATATATATATAAGCTTCGAAAACTGTAGATATATTATTTATTTATAGTAACATCTCACGCGTGTATGCATGTATGTGTATATATGCACGTGTATGTGTGTATATGTCTCTGCGTGTGTCTCTTCACTATCAAATTCTAACAGATGACTACTTTATTACACGTTTATTAATTCGTTACGCATGGAATGTGCGCCCACCGTTTCGCTTTCGTCTGCATTTTTCTTCGACTCTGCGAAACTCTCCCGAATAAGTAGCGATCTCGACGACGATACGCGACAACTTTTACCCTCAACGAAAGTGCTCCATCAACGTCCGAAACTCGATTCTATGCCAACGCTTCCGCAATCATGAATCATCAAACCAAAAACTGCATACTGTGTGTGTATGCAAAATAAACAGTATATAAATAAAATATAATTCAGCACGTACAAGCGGAAAAGAGCAAACTTGTACATTTTTTATTTATGTATCCGCACAAATACATAATAGATGACACAAATGAAACACTGCGGTGTCTATCTTTTTTTTAATATAAAATTATGTGATATAAACGTCTGCTAAAATTGATTAAGACTTCTCTAACATTTTTGTGTCTATAAAAAAAAAAAAAAAAAAACAAATGCCAAAGCCGAAACTTTGCAAATATTAACATCCTCTTTTTGTTTTAAAGTGATATCGATAACTCGCATATTTTCAAAATCATGTTGTCGTCACTTTTCTGCAATGCTGAATAATCATTTTACACAGTTTTGCTTCGTGCAACTGCTGTCAAATGTTTATTTTTTTTTAACATTAATAGCGTTTGTGTTATCTAATTTCATATCAAAATATTTTTGTTTGTGTGTGTTTCAGTCAACTTAATTCTGTTTTATACTTGCTAGAATACTTATGTGTCGTATTGCGCACTTTCGATCATTTTTTTCGTATCGTCGTCGTCGATGCTCATTTCTTGCGATATGAAGCGAACGGTGCGAGTTTTCTCAACAACAAAAGCCGTTATCCGTCGAAAAATAACTATGTTAATGTAAACTTGAGAGATAGTGTATGTGAATAGAGGGAAAACACAAAAATAGATGAAGCATGCCCGAGCACGCCGCAAAGCGAAGTTGTATTTTGTTGTTTCTTTATTGTAATCATGGGCTTTTGGCAGTGATATTAAATCGTCGTGACTGAGGAGAAAGTACTTGAACAATTAGCGACGACGTTGGACTTCGCCGACATACCAGCAAGTACTGCTTTTGCAAGAATTTTGTTTTTCGAAATTCGAAAGAACAATGTTCACTCTTATCCAAAGGAAAAACAAAATACAAACTCTTTGTCTTTTTTTTTTTTTTTCAAATCATCGGAAAAAAAATTGTATGGTTATGTCAAAAATTCAAAAAATTCAAAAAATCGAAAGAATTGGCACGCGTTTACAAATAATTGTTGTCGCAAAGAAGAAAGAACGGCATGACAAAACTCATTTTGTTTTTTTTTGTTTTTTTACGAACTCGCAAAAGTCTTGGCGCTTCTCCCCAAACACGCGGTAAAAATCCGCTCAAAATGTCCCGGAGTGAGGTATAACAAATATATAACCGTAAAACAGTAATAGTACAGTAGTAATACAAAAAATAGTCAAGTCGTCACGTAATAAATAATATATGCATGTACATACATATTTACGCGTATGTATGCGCACATATATTATCTATTATATATGTATACATATATATTTATATCTGCATGTATATATAATTAGCTTTGCAATCGCGTTGCGACCGTAGAATGAAAGTGGATCGAGAGAGATTGCGCGATTTTTAAATAAAATTATTTTTTTTCTTTTTGACACGTTTGTTCTTAGATCAAGGATATAAGAAAGAGGATTTTACAGAGACATTTAACATGAAAACTCGACGATATCTTATTCGTATCTTATCAAAAAAAAAAAAAAAAAAAAAAAAAGAGAGAAGCGAAGATAGTCTCAATCCACGTTTACTCCGCGGTCCGAGGCCGCCGTAATAAATAGATCATATTTTATCTCAATCTCTAAATTCTAATAACACCATTTTTCTAATCAGTACGAATCAATCGGCGAAGCACTTGGGACACGTTTGGTTTTTTGTGACGATCAGTTCTCTCACATCTTTGTATCACAAAAAAAAAAAAAAAATAATATCAAGACATACATACGGCGAAAACAAAAACGCAAACGATAAATTAATGCGTATTTACATAAACGGTAAATAGACAATTTACAAATTTGCAAGTACAAAACATTTCCGCTTTGCAAGAAGAACGTAATAATGATATGCAATTTTTTTCCGATTTTTTTTCTTTTCAGAAGAACGCAATAATGATATGTAATCGTGTTCATACATATATATATTTTGCATATTGTGCAACGGCTATATCTCACATTGATCTTATTCGTGTGCCCCAATGCTTCGCCCAGCACCAAATCGCCCTATATCGATATTATTATTTCGTGTACTTTTTGTTTCTGTTTTTTTTTTTCTTTGTTTTGTTTTTCTAAAGCAGTCTTTACAAGCGGCAACTTTTGGAAATTATTCGGTACGCGCCTTCCGCATCCGCCTTTTTACTTGCAGCACACACCCTAATCGGCGCTCGCAAATTTCTCTTTTTCTCTTCTTGCTTTTCTCTCCCTCTTTCTCCGTCCTTGTTCCTCTGCGATCTGCACCCGAAGAAATGCAGGTTGAGCTATGCAAATTTTCAAAATTTTCCGCGTAATTGTGTTGTATCTACCGACTAAGCTTTCGCTTAAATCCGATATGAGTCCGAAAGCACGAATCGACGCTATTTTTTTTTTTCTTCTATAAATTGCAAGAGAGACTTTACTTTCCTGCAACTACACAGCAGACATCAAATCGGATTAAGTCAATTTTCACTAAAAACAAAATCTACAATATTAAGCGAAAATAGATTACTCTGGTTTTCATCAAATTCAAGTGCATTCGATAGGAACTTTCGGACGTTCAGCCTCTTAAATACGTTTTATATTACACGTTAAGGCGGACGTCAAACGACTTCAAATGCTCGTGCGCTAGAAGATTCCTTTTTTGTTTCTCAAAAAGATCCGAAAGCAATGATCTTTTATTTTCTACAGAAACTCTCTATTGGGATATTTTTAATCTCGTTATTAAATTATTAAAACCGCATTTGTTTTTGTTCAGCCCAACTAGGAAAAAAAAAAATTTGTTTTCAAAGAACGCGATCGACGGAGAATCGAAACGATTTGTACGAATCTCGCGTCCCTCAACTACGAATATTTCATTCACGCTTTTGAACGACATTTCCTCTAATCCGTTAATCGTTGCAGAGTAATTCTACCTTATAGCATACGGTATCACAGAGTTACACGCGATATCGCTTAATTGCTCCCAGTTCGTAATCTCCGATACGTAACCGATAGAAAGAAAGCGGTGCAAAGCCATTCTCCCCGAAAAACAATTCAAGATCGTTGTGAAGAACGTCAAGTGCTATTTTAAACAAGAAAATTGTAATGTTCCGGTAAACAAAAATTAAAATATTTATGCAAAAATGATCAAATCTCAACCGTTATTATTTATTCAAAAAACACGCGATTATTTAAACGAAATAAAGATGTAATTATAACTCAAAACCACGATAAAGGTAAAATGTAACTTCGGACTGAATAAAAATAAAAATCTAAGTACTTCACAGAAAAGAAAATTTGATGTGACAAAAATAATTTAAAAATCCTCGACGTCCTTTTCACGTGCAATGCGCAAAAGTTCCCCTCTGTATATTTTCTTTCGCATTTACCGACTTGATTTTTACAACAAAATATGTTACTTTATGTGTATATATACTATTTTATATATATATATATATATATATTATATATATATTACATGAATAAAAATTAACAAGCGCTTTGTAGTGAGCGCGAAACAACAAATAACTTCGGACGCAAGAATCATCTCGGGAACAAAAAAAAACGTTGTTACATCTTCGATGACGATTGTGTGTGATGATTTTCTCGTTTAAGAAAATATCCTCAGCCCCGTGCGGCTGAAACGAGCAGAAATCTCCGACACGATAGCGTCCGCAAATCGCGCGTCTTTCGCGCGCAACGTGACACGTGCACACACATACATATATAGAGAGAGAGCGCGTTAATAATACCGGATGCATTTATCATGCTCTCCCTCGTAGGTCTCGCCGCGCTAATACGCGTAATATTGGCGCACGACGCTACACGAAGGAAACAGCAATAACGTTTAACGAGGCAATACGTGCCAATAATCACAAGTTATCTGACGTAGTTTATCTTTGGAAAAATCGTACAATATATTTAACACGCCTCGTTTCGCGAAGACATTTATGAGGAAGCTTACGTTGGATGATCGGTCAAGAATAATAAAAAAAAAAAAAAAAAAAAAAAAAAAAAAGTCTCGNGTTNTTTTTANCTCATANCCCAATATAGCCAANAATNNAAAGCTNTTTAANGAAGGNGGGTNTTAATNAAGGTTNGGTTNTTTTTTTTTTTTTTTTTTTTTCTGAAAGAATATATTGTTCATTCAAGTGGTAACCGACGTGTCACAAAGTGATTGCGCGCGAGAGATAACGCACGATCCTCAATGCGGTTTGTATTGTCCCGAAATTTGCGAAGATTTTCTGTTATATTTCTTTATGGATATCTTCGAGAGGGAATGGGGGAGGGGGAGGAGCACGAGAAGCTGATCCGCGGGCGGGACTAAAATATATGATAAGTACGACTATAATTTTGCGACGCCGAATATAATAACTTTTCTCCTTAGGCTTTGTTCGCATCCGCGACCTAAAACTACTTTCCGCAGCACACACGCATATATGCACGCAGTTTTTTTTTTTTTTTCTCTTCCGATCTCGCATCATGCAGGCAAGAAAACCGTTGCTTCCGTTGCACGCAAACTCTCGAACCCTCCGTCTTCCGAACAACGACGAAGCGCGAGATCAACTTCGTCATTGTTCCCGGTTTTGGTACCGCCGCGATAAAAACAATAATTCGCGGCAATACTTTTTATGCCACTCTCTCCACACGATCTCTGGCTCCTATTCTCATCGCGCGCATTTAATGCTGGCTCTGCTCTCGTTTCGTGCCAAAGAAAGAGAGAAAAAGTGAGAGAGAGAGAAGCATTCTTGGTTCGTGCAATTGGACGGTAGTCCCACTTACAGGCGCGATGAGAACACGACGAGAATCATCATTTTATTATTAGTGATTTTGCGTGACGTGGTGAGATTAGACGACGCTTTTCAGTCTGGGTTACGAGAAAGTTAAGTGGCTGTTACGATTGGAGATTTGCGTTGGTTTTCGCAGTTAGCGCGGAACGAACTTAAAAAAAAAAAAATAAAAAAATAAAACGCGCGACGAGAAGTCTCTTGGAGATATTCAAAGAACTCGCGAGAAAAAGAATCGAAACGTTTGCACAGTTTGTTGATGAAATTACAAAACAATTTTTTCTTCTTTTTCTTTTTTGAGAAATGACTTGAACGTTACGCGATGTTTTTTTTTTTTTTTGAATATTTCCGTCGTCGAGACGTCTGGTCAGACGTTTATCTGGATACAGATCGCGTGAAACGTCAAACGACCTTGCAAACGCTCCTCGAAAACTGGAAACACACCTTCGCGTCCGCTGAATGTCTTTCTCTCCTTCGAAATCTCATCTCGTTCTACCATTAGTTAGGAAAAAAGTTTATCAACAAATGAGAGCGCGCAGTGCGTGCGCGATTATGACGCGCGCAATGAAGGAACTTAGATATTTAGGTCTGACAACACAAGTACAGACTATTTTTTCGTAGCCACAACTGATCCGCGCGTCTGCGACATTCAACGTGCGAAAAACGTGATCGCTACCACCTGCAATCTCGATACGCGCAATCCCGATAGCCATAGCTTTATTATGTACCTCGCTTCCTCTGTTGCTTCATTTAGCGTCCAATGTTGTCTCTTTGTCCTTTGACTTTCCAGAACCCTCCGTGAGACGCTCCCCGTCCAAACACTTCATCGTTCGTCGATCAACCGGTTACGTCGAGGATCGTGCGATTGCTGTCCTCCTCTTCTTCTTCTTCTTCTTCTTCTTCTTCTTCTTCTGTCTCCTTTTTTTCTCGCCAGCCTAAACAGATTCTCAGGTTTATCCGCGAACTTGCGCCAAAGCGCGAAGTTTAATCCGATGACGAAGAAAGTCGCGAAACTGGTCATTTTGTTTATTTATTTTTTTTTTTTTTTTAATTTTTTTTAAGTACAATCCCCTAGGCGAAGAGAAAGACGACGATGATGGCGAATCAGAGAAAAAATGTAGTAGATGGACGTAGTAGATGCAACCTACTGATAAGATACGCGGTCCAGGTGGTGATGATCCATCCGCTGCGGTTTGTTCTCGGCTTTCGATCTCTCACGACGATTCTACCGTGGAAAAGGGAAGATACCAGATATCTTCACGTGATGCCTCACCGTTATCTTTTCGCGATTGTTTTGTTTCTTCTTGAACGGGTGTTAATCATTTTGAACTTTAGTTGTTGAAATTATTGTGACGATCCTCACACACATATATATTGGGTTCTTGAATTGTGCATCTTGAATTTTTCTGTATTCAGTCTGATTGGTCCGAATAAAATTTTGATTTCTTCGTCTCTCCATCAACAACTCGTAGACTCTCGACGCAATCGGTAACTTTTACGTATCGGAGTTAGTCCGTAGAACCAGGATGTAGTTCCAAAACCTGTTGCAATTTATTCAAAAGATCATTCCAACAGACTCTCTTCGTTCTCTCGAACCCGTCGAAGCTCCTATCGTTTCTCGATCCCCGTATACAGATCCTTGACACGATCTAACAGGCAAAGCTGACGGTTCGAGGATCATTGTATCTTTTGTTTTTCTTCCCCGCTGGGCTATCAAACTGGAACGCACTCGCTTTCGAACATCCTTCCCGAGCTGAACGACAAGCGTCGGTTCTCTCGATCTTTCCTTCTTCTCTTTTCTTATTCCTTCCGCACGTTCTTCCTTTCTTCCAGATCTTACACAGTTTTCTACGCACACATTCCACTTCCATTCTTTCGTTTCGATCGTTTCCAGTCTTGTCTACCAAGCTGAAGGCGGATCCGGACACGAGCGCGCTACCACATTGCTACTCGACTTTGATGTGGCAACGGGTGCTGATGTGCGTCGGATCTCGATTGGTTTCGAGCCGGACACGGGCGGCCGGCCCAAAACCGTTTGGCTGTTTCACGATAGATTCCGCTGATCGTCAGCGGAGTCCTCCGCTTTCTTAAGCGAGCGCTTCAGCTTATCGACCAGCCTGTTATGGAACTTGTTGAGGGAGTTTGAGCTGCCGGTTTTCGGCGGCGACGTGCCCGTGCTCTTGCTCGGGCTCTGCAGCGAGCTCTGCGACGCTCTCGAGGACGTTCTCGAGAAATGTCGTGAGGTCAACGGAACGGACCGGTGCGCCGGCGAGGTCAGAAAGTCGGAACCGGGTGAGGTTGACAACGACGGTCCCTCTGATTTGGAGCACTCGGACACCTGCGAACAGAAAAAAAAGAAAACGCTCGGGTTAAAAGATCGGAAGAACACGCCCAAGATCGAACATTTTCAAAACCTTGATGACCACATTTGACTGATTAGAGAAATTAATCAAAAATTAATCTGAATTAATGAAAATTATGTCTAATTAATTTGTCTTGTTGATTAATAATTTTAATGTTAATGCTCTCGAGGCGTCGCATATGCGACGAATAATCGATGATTGTGATTAGAATCATCAGATAAGAGTCGTCGTCATTCGTATCATCACGACAGCTAGATAAGACAGACTCATCGATTGCGTGATTTATCTTTCGAATGCATCGTTCAACTTTCGTTTGAATTCCGTTCAATGTATCGTCAAGAAATCACGACAAAGTGCAATTATCATCGCGATAACAACATCGCGATTTTGCGAAGTCACGCGTTTCCTCGTTAGTTGCTCGGTACATGAATGGTGAAAGCGGCGGTGTGATTCCTAACTCGATCTTTTTTCTTTTACACACATGTTTGCGAGACATACTTCAACGCGTGCAAGTAACAAGGCAGAAATCCTCAGAATCGCATCCTTCAATTCTTTTTCTATCGCGCGATCGATGAATAGAGCGCGCGACTTTCCAATATTATTCCTGAGTAAGTTTCGAGTTTTGATTAATCGTTTTGATAATCGAGTGGTTTTCCCACGTCGGCGCTTTTGAAATGAAATCGGATGTCGCGGCAAAAAGCGGCTAATTTCTCTCTAGCACAAGTCGGATTGCTAAGTTAATTTACGGAAAGTTTCTCGCACATTCTCATTTAATTAAATTATTTTTGTGACATTTTCACGTCATCGAGAAAAGTAAGTACAAATCTAACAATAATTAAATTTCACATTAAAACAATTTTGATGTATCTCAGGCTTTCTAAAAGATAAAACAATTTAAGAATATTACATGATAAAATATGAATTTTTGTGAGACAAATTCAGAGACGAAACATTCGCCAAGTTTTACAATATTAATTTTAAATCAAGGAATAGAACTTTGAGAGCCATATACGCTGGATGTGTACGTGCGAGAATATTATTTTTAATATGTAAATTAATACACACAGAAAATTCGAATCAAAAACATAGAATTGTTATTCAACAATTCGTTCGTACGGCCTTTGTAAATTAGCCATATAATTAATTTGTCTTGTTGATTGTGTGTGCAATTGCGTGGCCTGTGATAAAGGCACTAGATTGAAAAAAAAAATATACAATACGTATGGAAGTGGCAAACAGTAATATTTTCACAGCTGTAAAAGTTCGCAATTACGTATTCGAGAGTGTTTATTGTTCAATTATATATCTACACAGACCGAGAGAGTTAATCAAGGAACTCTCGTCGTACCGACAACGACGCTCTAATTGATATGCTAATTCGAGGAAGGACATGTTTCTTTTGATTTCTTCCTGAGCAAACAACGCACCGTTTCTCTTCCGACGAAGTTCAATACCACTTGACTAATTGATCAACAAATTTGCATTCGCGCGCATGTTCTTTCTGCGCAAAACCGGTCGATTCGCCGTCAAGTCAAGGTCGAAGTAGGACAAAAATAGAGACAGCAGACAAAAAATGTCTGAGTGACAAAAATATCATTGACGTACCATGCGCGTGTCAGCCCAGTGCGCAACCATGTGCTCGTATTGTCATAGCGAGAAACCGATAAGTGGTCGATTAATCCTCCGTTTTTCGCCTTCTCACCTTTTACCACGTTGTACAGAGACGGCGAGCCTCTCCGTAGGAAAAGATCGCGTTACAACGACATAATACCGACAGCAGTGGTTCTCATGTTTTTTTTTTTAAACTTCTTGCCAGTAAACGATCAGATAGGTGCGTACTTCATGGATTTATAAGTGTATAAAAAATTTATTTTTATTTATCTTATCTTTCTATTAAGCGATTTTATCATTAACAAAATTAGTTGTTTTTCATTTAGAAAAAGATAACAAAAACAGTTGTGATATAAAAATATATATAAGGATGAAGTATTATTTAAAAAAGGATTATGTAAATATTTTTAAGATTTTTAACGAGTTTAATTCTTCTTTTTAATTATTTTGTTTTTTATTGTTTAAGATACAACGCTTTACTTGCTCTTGTAATGTAATTGCCGGCTTCAATGAATTTACGTACTGATTCTCTTTGCATTATTACGCGGAGTTACATAATCCACGTGTGCTACAAGCGGAACATGACGCGTCATACGTGCGCAAGCGAAATTTGTTGCCTATAAATGATTCTTACTTCATTTTTGCCGCGATCTTCAATAGAGACATTTGCATTTATAAAGAACCTTTTATCGCGCGACGTTACGTGCGATAATAATAGAAGTATTGAAAATAAGAGAACGCAAAGCAATCGATTATCGATCGCATTGTATTATGGCGTACAAGAGAATTTCAAGTATTGTTTGCTCAGAGTTCATTGATATATTTGCTAATTTTTTATGTCACCTGTTCAAATAAAAATACTTCAATTTCAAAATTCAATCTCTAATTTAAATAAAAGCAGATCGCATGTATTGATCTGCAGAAGCAATTCAATTGAAATAATTTTCGATAAAGAAATCTGGATTGTAAAATTGGATTAATTTAATTCTATGCGAGAAAATTAGTTAATCCCGTCGTGAATTTTCATCGTAAATCTATTATTATTGATTCTATCGGTTAGTAATTACCGAGTCCTTTCATATCAAATTCAATAGGAATTATAACAGAAATTTCATTTTTCTTCCTTTGAGCTGGAAATGTCATACGTCATCAAAATTGTGTGATACGTAAATCTCTGAATTATAGATAGACAAATTTCCCACGATGTATCAATCATTTTTGCATCGTGAAAGAATGTCGCAAATTTTGTTAACGCTACCGATTTTGGATTTAACTCGCATTATAGCGAAAAAAAAAAAAAAAAACAATCTTCGGAGATACGCGCAGCATGTGCAATCAGAAGCCGATAAAATCGTGTTGTGATAATGCACGTTACATACATAGCTTAAATATGCGCAGTACGCGAACTGTCGCGTTGCGTTATATAATTGGCAATGATTTCTGAATGAGATTGCGTTAACGTTCTGGCATTAGCTTATATGCTTGCACCCTACTACGCATCTGCACCTTTCAGTGTCACGTGCTTCGGCTCTTAATATCAACGTGGAAGGACAAAGCAAGAGAGTTGATTGATTGTTAAAAATATCCCGTTCAATCTTTTTTTTCACACTAATAAAAGTGACACGGCAGTATTAGAGCGAATTAATTAATTCTTCATTGTGTGTAATATGTACTATAAAATGTTATAATATCAATTATAAATAAATATGTTAAAAATAAATAAATATGAAAGCTATTAAAACTCGAGTTGAGAGTCGCCATATCGCGAACAGAACGCTCGATTAAGGCCGATCTTGCATCTTCACTTTTTTGCCGATCATCTTTTCTGCGTCTTTCCTTTCTCATCTTGCCTTTTAAAAAAAAAATCATCACTGGCTTTCGCAAAGCGTTATCTTAGCTATTGCTTAAATAATTTTAAACATAGCACAGATTCTCGACAAAAACAACATTCGCAAGAACACCCAGAATGAAATTGAAGATTACTAGTCTTGCGGACACAATTGTCTTTTCCTATGTTAAATAAGTAGTTTTGTAAAAAAAAAAAAATCGATGCATTCTTGCAATAAAATTATTTTTACAATAAAAAAAAGACACACAAAGTTATCTCGCTATCTTGAAGCTACTGAACATTTAAAAAAAAGTAGTAAAATACTAGTTAAATAGTACGAAAACAAAAACACATCCGAGATTAGCATATTGTGCAATGCGTTACGTTAGGCAATAAAAAATTGTGCAACGTCATCGTTCTTATTAACCATCTTATTAACCCGAAAAGAGAATACGAATCATCGTAACAAAATATTTGTATATTAACGCTAAACGAAACGATAAAAAGATTTGCCGATCTCATTTAAAAGTAAGTTTCTCGTCGTTATTAATTTTTAAATTATAATTTTTCAGTATAAATTTTTATGATGTAACAAAAAAACCAATTGTTGAGATAAATCCAACACGATTTTATCATATATAATCTGAAATTATAAAAATGTGACTCACATGCAATTATCTTTTACGTAAAACCAAGACGTGCGAGAATGAAGAGGAATTTTAGAAAATCCAAGTGACTTGTCACGTCAGCATTGATAACCGAGCCTATGAGAATAGATGTTGAAGTCATCCAAAAGATTGTAGAAGTAGTACACGATGTGTCAAATACTAATGACACTTAGATTACGTGATTACGGAATGAATGAAACATCAGATAAAGAACTTTCGACGCGAGAAGAGAATCCGTACGAGAGTTCACTGTACGATACATTACGAAAGCGAGACAAGCTTGCGCAATGTCGCGTCACAGATATGGGAAGTACCTTTTATATACGAAATGTCTCCTGGATCTACAGGTAACATCTCGCCGATAGAAACGATTTGATGAGAAATCCTATTTCTCTTTGCCCAAAAATTTGATGCTCACTGTCATAAAAATTTTAGCGACATTTTTCAATCGATACACGTATTGATTGTATATTGGGTCATTAATGTATATATGTGTATATACTTGTGTGTGAAGTTTTCACACTCAATGAAAATCCAACATATATTACGTGCGTTTTTTTTTTTTTGTATCTTTTTTTCCCGTCTCAATATTCTATGTATACTGCTCATAAATTAATTAATTGTAATTTTGTTATCGTTATCGCGATCTGTGTTACTGCAAATTTATATTCGAATCACACAGCGTGGCAAATGATAAAAACGAAAAACCTCGACCGTCGCAATGTCATCGACGATATATTCGCGATAACATCAACGAGTTTGAAAAACATCGTGTATTATTTGCAATTTTGACATTTATATTACGCGCAACTACGCATATGTCGTCGTAATAGAAATAAACTCGTGTGGTCGGCATATATATGTATGTATATTGTATGTATTGTATATTTTACCGCGGCACACACGTGGTCCCTCCCTCGGATCGTCACTCGTCATTGACTATATGCTTATTCAACGTCTCAGCAAATACAGTTTGCCGAGCGATTAGCAACGTCGTCCTACGGGAAACCGGTTTTTCGAGCGCGGCGAGCGCAGACGGTCTTTTACGGCAAACAATTTCGCGAGAATCCGAGTTTTTCTTGTGTGTTCCGCCGGACGATAAGCTGCCGCGGAAAGAAACGAACGATCGAAAAAACGACCGGCTCAATTCTTCGCGCGGCACGAAGAAAAGCTATCAAAAAAACCCTCGTCGCGTGTTGTATTACGCAAGCCGTGTATACTCTTTTTTTTTTTTTTGACGCAATCTTGGACTAATCTTTAACAAAACAGATTGTTATTCTTGTCTTGAACAACAACGCCGAGATGAGAAGATTATCTTGTCGTGTTTGAAAAATCACACACACACACACACACGAAAAATATCGCACACGGAGACGATAACAAAAATATAATTTATGAAAAGCGAAAACACATCGAAGAAGCACATCGAAGTATTATATTGAAAGTTATGATGAAAGTTATAATGAAAGTATATACACATAACGTGAAAACAAAACTAAAATTTATTATTAAAAAAGCAAAAACCTCTGATTGGAATTTAATTAACAAAGACAGCACAAAATTTTTGTTCTTTTTGTTCTTAAGAAGAAATAACTTTCGTAGCTCCAAAGACGCCCACGCGCCCCCGTTTGCAATTATATAAAAACTAAAAAACAATTTTAATTAAAAAATATAAACTAATTTTAATTACGTATTATAATTCTTAGAAAATATTAACATTCAACTTGTTGAAGCTAGAAAAGTTTACAAAGGCGTTTATTTCGAAAAGAAGACACAAGCTACAGGGTCTAATCTTCGTCGCGCTGAAACAGCTATCGCGTATCGATTTGCTAATTCTGCTCTATATTTTTTGGGGGGTTTTTGTTCTCTTTTAAACAATACGCCAACGTCTCTATTTCGAAATAAACGTCTCGTGAAAACTGGAACGTAAAATCGCGCAAAGCTAGCCAATTACCATGAGAATTGAGACGGGAGGACGATCAGGTGTGCCGCACTTTGCGAGACGGTTGTGTCTGCTAGTTCGCCAGATCTGTGAAAAAATTGCGCATGCAAAATTCGGCGCTCTCCTTTTTCTTGTTTTTTTCTTTTTTTTTTTTTAATCTTTCTCTCTCTCTCTCTCTCTCGGTATTTCATTATCGCTTTGCACGAGGTTTGACATGTAGATCGACGTAAACTCCGCGCGCGCTTCGAAATACGTGCTTTCTTTTGTGCAACGATACGCAAAGTACTCTTGAAGAAAATATGTGTACATTTATAATGATTCGTTTTTTTCTACGACGTGAATAGACGTCATTTTTTTTTTTTGTGCCGGCGTTATTCAGTTCCAACAGCTTCAGCACACTATACAAGTAATATATGCGATACACAATGCGAATGACGCATCAAGACCGGCCGGCGCCAACATTGTTAAAAGATTCTCATAAGCCGATTTTCCACACACACCGAGCTTTGTCAACACAACCGGATCTACATTTTCCTAGCTATCCAGATCGATCATTTTCCGTTCTTTCGTCGCTTTAAATTATCATATCACCAACTTAAAAGACAAATTGTAACAAAGTATATTAAAAAAAAAAAAAAAAAACAAATAAAGACATTTAATTAAATTGCCGCTGTTGTCAGCGCAAAAACTGAATAATATTTCTATTAATATCCTGTGAGTTATAATATTGCTTCGGAAAAATTTTATATGACGTGTGAAGCTGGCGCTGAAATTTGCGCGTATTATGTTGTCATTCGTGTGTTATTAAATAAATTCGTTAAATTTGTGATAATGCGAATATACGCGCATTATATTCCGACGTATTGGTTTAAAAAGAACAATCACGCACAACAACTATTGTATGTCAACTTTCAATTTTTGCGACTCTCTCTTGTGTTAAAAGGAGACTCACCTTTCTGCTGCGACAGGCCTGCGGATTGGAGCATTCGGACGATCGCCGACTGCGATTAGTCTTGTAAATGTCCCATTCGTTTTTCACCACGGGCATCATAAACGCCATCTCGTCTACCTGGGTTCTTTGGTGCACACTCTATATTTTTTTCTCTCTCTCCTTTCGTAGGATCACTGTCCTGTCTGCCAACACGCTTCGATTACGTCGTCTTTCTTCCTCCTTCGCGCTGCTGCTCTTCTCTCGTCTTCGTCACTCCACAGCGATTCTAGAAAGTTCAATGCGCACGAGACACTCGCTGAAAAATGAAGGCGATTCTCACTGTGTCTCGGGGAATATCGATTCTCGCGCTAAACGATCTCGCAATTATCTCGACCGCTCTGAATTCAATTCACCGACCCGCGCGAATCTTATTAAAAATCAAACGGTTTAGCTGTCGATTCGCACGTGCTGATTGTGATGACGTTGTCCCCCGCGATCCGTTCGCTTATTTTCCACAACGACAATCGGTGTTGTTGCTGCGTGTCAGGCTAATCGAAACTTGGCTAGGATCAACTGCAAAACCGCATATACACACGTACGCTCCCTTCACAAAAGTGTGCTGCGATGCGCCCGCCTCTTGTGAGTGTTTACGTGTCCTGCTCAATATATATTGCGTATATATGTTTCGTTCAGTGTCGGCTTTTTTTTTTGACAGATTCGCTCTTCAATTTCACGTCCGTTCGCTGCGGCAGTCCGCTACGGAATGAGCACGCCGGTCTACGTGTGGAATAAACGACAGAGAGGCTCGTGAAACCGCGGTGGGGACGGGCGTGCATCGTCATTGGCCGACGTTGAGGCGGGACACCTACGTCACGGAGTTGCCATTGATTTTTCAATGTTGATACACACGGCGGCGTGACGTGCCGGATTGAATTTTTGGCGGCGCTCTATACGGTCGCACTATCGTGATCGTAGTCACGTAAGTGCGCGCGGGAATGCGAGGGAGAGAGAGAGACGAGTGGCGCAAATAAGACTCATCAAATGTGTCTGAGAGGAGAGAATCTGAATCCCCAAGGGGAACCCCCCACGGGTCACGATTATCGACGATACTACGCGCCAAAATCAATTTGTTAATGACAAGACTCTTCGGTGACTTTGAAATCGACGAGCGAAACTTTTATTGCGAGTATTTGTGATATCGCTCTCGTTATATATTTCAATTGTTTTAAATAAGAATTATTTCTATTTATCATTTTGTGTCTCATGTTATTCTGAGAAATTATCTCAAAGAAATTAATACGATTAAAAAAAAATAAATAAATAAATCAAAGATAAATTCATAGTTGAAAACACATCATCTCTCTCTTCTTCGTGTGTGTGTATATAATCATTACATATCTCGAGCTCTAGTATCGTTCCCGTACTTGAAAGTGTCTACTGGTTACTAGAAGTAAATAAATTACACAACGAGAAAAAAGAATGAAGAAAAGAACAGTTAGGCGTGTGAACGCTAAAGTCAGTGTGTCCTGAAATGCGAAATCGCGCCCCGGCTTTGTTTTAGAAATTAAGATGTCACACAAATAACATTTCATTCTATATTAAGCAAAAGATAACAGCCAAGAAAATGGATGAAAGGTTAAGAAGTCTTTCTCTTATCTAAACGCGCGCGCACACACACATACACACATAGATAAATTAGATAACTTGTTTTACTTTTGCAGCAAATAACATTTATATTTGATATTGCGCAGTCGTTAAAGTTTAATTAAAGAAACGACTGTGTGAGATTATCTTGCAACCTACATCAATAATTATTACGGTAAAAGCTCGAGAAAAAACGAAGATAAATAAATAACAATAATTAATAACTCAAAAAATATATAGAGACAGAGAAAGAAAGAGAAAGAGAAAGAAAATCATGTTTAACTTTTAATATTTTCAAATGAATTTTTTGTATATAAATAAAATAAGATAAGAAAAATATGCAACAAAAATATAATACGAACAGCAATTGTATATTGGATATTTCTTTATTTAGAACGTAAAACTTTTAATTAGCTAGCTTTCAAAACTTGCAAAAATATTTTAAACATTTTAAACATGTGCCGAAAAATTAAAACTAAAAGTGAAAAAACTTGTTTGTTTGCTTATAAAAAAAGATAATGCGCTGAGCGCAGCGCACGTATAATACACACGTGAAAACTAGACGTAAACACTATACTATTTCATGTAGCTTGCAACATGTCTGATAAATACTCTGTTAACACAAACAAGTGAGTCCAATGGTCCTGAAACCGATATCATTAAAGAGAAAACTTTTGTCTTCTTTAATCGAACGTATCCATTTGATGAAAGTGAACATAATATGTCATCGCGTGAAAGTTCTGTTAATTATTTCACAATAAAATAGTCAACCTTAATCGTCGATGTGATAAGTCTTCTTGTTGCTATAAATATTAAAATATGGTTTTAAAATATATTTAGATATATTTCTCTTTGAATTAAAGAACAAATATACTTTCTCGAATATTTTATCAAAATTAAGTTACGAGAAAATTGCTTACACATAAATTATATGTAACAAAAATAGAAATTTTCTTGAACAACACGTCTATATTTATAACATTAATGATAATATTATAGTGTAGAATATTAATGAGATAATACAGCAACATTGTGTTGGCACATTAATTACTTGTTCGCATTTTCCACTTCTGGTGTCAAACTAATTTTCCCAACTGACAAACGAAACTTTTGGCAAATGTGCGTATCAAAGCAAATTAATCATTGCAAATTAAAGTATGCATTTTAACAACAAAAAAAAACAAACTTCGTGATGATTAGCAATAAATTGTTTCAAGATTATACTAGAAAATTTTTATAACTATATATATGTTAATTTTTCTTAATAAACACATACAAAGTTATACATGTTCAAAAAAATCTCACACGTTCTGAGCATAAATAGTTTGCAAGCTGTTTGTTTTCATTGCATGTTTACAAAGGATTGTATAAAAATGTCGCTTATACTTATGCGGTCTTGTGCGACTATCTTGCGGTTAAGTAAAGGACGATAAAAATATCAAATACGATAGCGAACACTGTTGTGTTGTCTCGTATGTTGCGCAATTTCCGAACAAGAACTCATTTAAACTTGTTGAAATAACTTTTTTGACAGTGTGTGTAGATAAAACATAAGAGAACATCGGAAATCAATATTCCGCATATATTTTCATAAACAACGCAGTTGCAGTTTATGTTAGTTTATAACGCATGTACGCCATGAAAGCATGCATACACAATATCCGTAAAATAATATACAGATATTTATCGTAAACAATAAATTGAACAATAAGCATGTGAAGAATCACACAGACATAGAGCGTCTATTAAACGTCTAATACACATCCATAACTCCATGTAATGTCTAATAAACATCTAATGTGAAGGTTTGTATAGAATGTTGTTCCATGTGAGAATATATATTCTCGCACACAGAAGAAAACTTTATAGAAATTTTGCTAGATTTGAATTAGATATCGCATAAAAATTGTGAATATCTAATGAATATTTAATGAAAGTTTTGCGTTTAATAAAACTTTTATATATTATTTGTAATATTACCAGAAATTGATTAATAATATGATCAAACTAATATTTATTTATTTTGAATATTAAACTTACTGTTGAACATTTGTTGTATTATTCAAAATATAATATTATTGTGGCCACACCAATAATAAATTTTTATAGAAATAAAATTGCATTAAAACGATATTGAAAGACAAGAAAAACGAGATCTAAAACTTGAAAGTCAAATTGCTTCGCAATTTAACGCAATATGTGATATATCTAGAAAAAGAATAAAAACGTGAAAAATATATATACATATAGACATTCTGGCGCGCATATATAAAAAATATATCTATATATTTAAATATAAAAGTTTATCAGCATTTGATAATTCAAATCAAATGTTAGAAAACAATATTTATTATCGTACGTCGATTCAGATCGTTACCGATTGTTGATCAAGTGCATATTCTGTTTAATCTAACAATTGCGTTCATTGAAAATTTAATTATTACATATTATCTTGTTCGCAAAAACTTAAAATCTAACTTTTGAGCGCATTACTGGAAAAAAATAATATTTAAATATTAATAATATTAATGTAATCTAAAATAAAACATGTTACAATATTGTAAATTTCTTTACAAAGAAAGAATTTGACATCAGTTTTTTATTTTAATTATAAAAAAAAGCACACACACAATTCTTTTTTTATGTTTAGATACACTAAATTATATATTGCGATGCGTGATACGTTCCAATTAAATATTTCTTTTTTAAAGTGTAATTGAACGCCCACACGTGTAATTCGTAACATTTCGTCGAATCGCATCGCGTGAAACGAATAAAGATCGAGCAAGTCAGTCTCGGCAATTCTTACGCTTGTCAAGACCGGAGCTTTCGTGAGAAATGAACAATGCATTCAACCCTCTTTTATCGATTTTCCACCAAGGGACAGAGTTACTCCGTAGACCGTCGCGCTTGCTACTTAAAGTCTCTCTGTGGTTAGTGACGCAACGCGGATGAAAGGGGGAAAGCGTGCGCGTCTTTTCATCAAGTTGCTCGGCAAGCCGAACGATAATCGCTCCAATTGTTTGGTGTCACAAGAACAATAGATGCAACAAAACGTGAAGTATTCGCATGGACAAACTTGTGACGGGCGTCTATCATTCTCTTCAATTTTTTTTAGTAAGTGCAAACAATGGTGTAAATCTTGTTAACGCGAATATTCACAATCCGAGACATCGTCTTTTGTGTCCTAAATCCTAATCCAAAAAATCTTCCGTTAGTTATTTTTCCGATTTAAAAAACTTTATTTCTCTCTGTATACCGCAAGCGCTAGTGGGACAAAAACGCGCGTGAAACGCTCGCGAAACGAGTACGGGGTCGCTGAAATAAAAATGCGCCATGTATCACGACCATAAATAATTATATGGCTCGCGAGATTGACAGCTCTAATAATTTATTTTAAAAACTCTAGTGTAAAATCTCATGTGCGTGAAGCGTGAATGGAACATTCGTTCGCGCGCGGACACAAATGCGCGTTGTTGTCCTAAGCGAACCAACGCAGGAACACAAGAAAGGTTAACGACCCTTAACGTGCTTAAGGGTGAATCTGAACTGTCGAAGCCGTGGTATTCCGCGCGATTGAGCTGTACAGATGCGTCGACACGTTTCTACTGGTGTCGTCGAACCCCTTGAAGGGAGACCTCCTTACCGTAGAATTGGAGGGGCGTCTTTAGTAGGACGTAGTTCGCGCTATGTGTCTCCGGGCCGGCTATATACAGTTCTGTTTCACTGGCGTGCCGGCCGCGGAACCGACGACGACGGATCGCGAATTGATCCTCCCCGACCGTATAGATCGAGCCGGTCGCTTCCCAGTCAGCGATCGTCCTCGACACGAATGCGCATCGTCCGATGAGAAACGGTTTGTGATCTTCGAAAAAAAAAAATCAAACCGCGCATCGACTTTTATCGAATCAACATCGACGCGCGCTTGAAAATTTATACAGCAATAAATTCTACGGACAGAAAATTCGCGCGAATCGAGACTGATCATCATCTTCGGTGAAAACGTCGGGCGGTGTGTTTAAAACGAGTTTTCTTTTGTGGTGAATATAACGGATGAATAGAACAGTGCGAAAGAGGAAAAAGAAGAGGAGAGGAAGACATGAGAAGAGAATCGGGAATCGCGGGGAGCGGCGTTGCGTTGTGACTCGTCTGCGGTTGCACGTGATAAAAAAAAGTCGATAACGAGAAAAATGGTGTTTGACCCTGTCTGCGAAGAGCAAAGAAAGCAATTCTTCAAGCAGAGTTATGGCGCTCATTTACCTGGGTAAGTGCACGCGTACTCGTGAAAAAAACGCTTCCAATTTTCGTGAGATTGATCCTGACGCGCGTTTTATTGGCAGATCGGTGATTTTTTTGCGATCAACTGATTTCACGCGTACTTCGTCTTCTTTTTTTTTTTTTTTTTTAAAAAAAAAGGAAAATCTATAAGAAGTAACATCGATCTTGAACTTCTTTTCCACACACGAGAGATGTTATTAATCGCGTACAAGCGTCATGTGACCATCACAAATATATATCTACTAAATAGTTGCGCTTTTTTGTTGACAAAGATAATCACATCTTGTTTTCTTACATACATGCAAATACGTTACAAGTGAAAAAAACATAAAAATACATTGTAAAATTTAATAATGTGTTTATTAAAAATAAAACAAGAGAGAAACATACTGGTTTTACGTAGAATTTTATGATTTTGTCGTTAGCGAATAAGTTGAGCTGTTACGAGGATCTAATTGAATTTGCAGCTGCGTTATCATAGACACTAAACGTCTCGCTATATAGCTTTATCTGTTGTTGCATAATGCATGCAAATACGCGGTGTCCAACAAAAGAGATCGGGAACGCAAATGCAGATACCGTACAAGACGTACATACTGTGACAATGTTTATTACTTTTTTGTTTGGAGATACGATAAAAATAGCGATAATCGCGTTGTATAGTTTACATTTGTTTTTTTTTCCAAGACAAAGTTTAAGTTTTTATTTAGATACTGTTTAAATCTTAACTTTTACTATTGTTTGCTGTTCGATCGCGTGAAGTAACGGAAATGTAACTTTCTACGAACGGTTATACATATTAAAACGCGGATGTAGAACGTACGATTAGAATATTTAATGGCTGCTCGCGGTATGTAAAACAATGCGAGAGAATTCTTAAACTCGCATTTAAACTTTGTGATTTCTCTAAAAACTTTGAGATTGGATAAAGTGCGAAACCGCGAGTCCGTAAGAAAATTGCATTTGATCGAAGGATTTTTTTCAACGCAATATTTTCCGCACGAGATCAAAATCGTGTTTGTTTTTTTTTTTCCGGAGCGAGTCTGTCCGAAGCTGTTTGATTTAATCCGATTTCTGATAAAAAAATTTATCGATCCAAGACCATTTGTAGTGAAAAAGAAAACAGTGTAATATACATGCGAGCACATGTCGAATATATATTATTCGCACGTGCTTGCCGATTGTGTGCGCGAACATCGAGAAAATCGAAACTCGGCAAACCGAAATTATGTCAGATTCGAAGTAGATCGCCGGACGACCACCGGAAACGAAGCATTCCCGAAGTATTGACCTCGAAGTCGCACACGAAGCGCTGGTACCGCGGTTGGTACCGTGCCAATTTACACCCCACACGAGGTCTGTATCACACGCGAAACTACCCTCCTTTACTACATGGATCACCTCGAAACTATTTATCGTGATTTACCTTAGCCTGGGCGTATCGATCCGACCGAAGAAAGGACGCGGATCGAAACCGGTGACTTTGTACTCTATTCGTGAAAAAAAAAAAAAAAAAAAAAAAAGAACGTCCGTTCAAAGCCAACGAGAATGTTCCAGCTGTCTCTCTTTCCGTTAACTCTATACGCTCCCTTTCTTTCTTGTGATAAAAATAGCAAGAAAAATGATTAACAGTCGCGGATTTTGTTTCTTCAATCTCCGTGGGTTGAAGCAGAAATTGAAAAGTTAAAAAAAAAAAAAAAAAAAAAAAAAAAAAAAAAAAAAAAAAAAAAGAAGCATTTGAAGCACGAATTGTTCTGCTCGTCGTCAAAGCGTGAAACGTAATGAGAAACTTACTTCGGCGACTAGTCAGAAAGAAACATGAAATCTAATCTGTCTGCTAGAGACAATCTCACTTCCATGACACTGATCTTGCGATATAAGACACGGTAGGATAGTGCAACGACCCAGATACGATTTTATGTAGATATCTTATAGCAGGAACACGTGACAAACCGTGAATAGGAGTGACTTCGACGATGCACGCCGCTGGTTATCCCACCGTGACCGTCACAAAGTGAAGGCTCGATTTTACTGGGTCACCGGTAGTCCGCTTTTACGGTTCTGCGATTATACTTTATTTAGGGATCGGCCGTGATATCATTCTCTCGGATGCGTTTCAAGTTGCAATCAAGTTGACATATTCAAGCGTTACTAACACACATTCTCAGTTTTCGAACAAATTGACTTGCCAGTAATGTGTTGTTCCGATTGATTTTGTGCAAATCGCAAATTATATAAAAATTAAGTACTTTTTTTTAAGTACAATACTTTGTAATACAAAGAGCTTGATATTTTTATTATAATTTTATTATATTTGTTTTGTATTGTGTTTGTGATGTAAATATAAAAATATTTACGTTTGCGTTGTATTGTTTAATAAAATTTGTACGCGCGCGCGCGCGCATGCTTGATTACAAATTACATATTTTGTGATCAAGTTGGAGAGCCAACTTTCTGTAATTGCGCTAGTTCGTTACAAGCTATTTAATGTAGAGGTAGACAGTGTAAGTTCACGCATATGGTATCTTGTTGCGGCAAATAGCTGCATAATTGCGAATATAAATCTAACGAAGAAGTATACGTACATAACATAACCATCGTAACCATATATACATGCAGATCTCAGGAATTAGATACGCTTCGCTAGACAGAGAAAAGCGCTTACAGCGCACCTACTCGCGTAATGAGTCATATAATTGCGCATACTATACTTGTTCATTATATGTTACTCTGGTATATATTTTGGTCATGGAAAAGTTGACTGGCAAATTGATCGAGAAATCTTTCAAGCAAAGCATCTTTCTTAAACACACTGTGTACGTGATTTATGATATATCCATAAATTACACTCTTGTAGGTATACGGGTCATTGTCCCACGCTGAAATTTCGCGTCGGAAAAAGATTCGGAGCGAGCACGGAAGAAATAATGAAGGTAATAAACATGTGTTTTAAAAAAAAAAACGTCGAAAAATATTTAAATTACAACTTTTAAATCTGAAAATAGTAAAAAAGAGGTCAATTACATACTGCGCGTAATAAAATTACGAATATTTTTTTCTCATATAGAGATCTAATTTTATATTTTACGTGTCGCTTAACTATAGGAATTATTGGAAAAAAAAATCTTGAAAACTGGACCGTATAGACCTAATTCCGGTAAAGAAGTTGAATTATCAACTCCCGAGGAGAAAGAAATTAAAGGAGATTGGCACGATACGCAAGTGTACAAGGCACCACCGTACATTCTAGGATATACCGGTAATATTTTATATTTTTCTGTGTATTATCCACAGTCCATTTCAAACGCACATTCAATTAAAATTACACTTTTTTCGAGAAAAATCGTTACATAACACCGACGTTGTTTCGTCGCAGGATATATTCCCGGCTTCAACAGCAGATTCGGCCTACCGTTCATGAAAGCCGTGGAAGTCGGTGCCAAAGAGTGGCACGAAACGCAGAGAAAATTAAGAGCACGACGGGATGCAATGAGAGCTCATGCAGAAAGGACAGATCCGAGAAATCTCCTGGCTCGAGCGCGAGCGGACAATGTGGACGTCGAGATCGATCACGGTCACGACAGAGACAGAAGGACTTTCGGTATTTGTGCAGAAATAATAAATTTTTTTTTCTTCAATAATTATTATAAAAATTATTAAGAGCGCTGCGTAAAAACCGATATTTTATTCACAAAACCGATTGAATTGACTGTATTTGTAAAGTGTCAGCATATTACGTTTCTTTATTTTTATTTTTTTATTTCTGCTGAAAAAATATTGTTAATGCAAATATCTCTCTCATTGCAGATTATCGTGTCTCTCCCGAAAGACCGCCGATCGTTGGATACACCGGCCATATTCCAGGAGCGAAGGGCGAAGTCGCGCTTTCCAAGAGATACGCTCAAGCCGCCAGGAAAGGTTTAGAACGCGTTCAAAAGGAACGCGAAGAGAGATTCAGCAAGACTAAAGATATAGAGGCAGTTCAGAGAGTTCTCGACGATGCATACCTCGACGAAACGGGACACACACGTGCATAAAATATAACGCAAGACGTTATGAAAAATATTTGTTTTAGCAACAAGATGCGTGTAAAATAAAATAGAATATATTAAGACGGGAAGGAAAGAGAAAATAAACAAAAGAGAAAATCACAAAAAATTAACTAAAGAGAAAACGAAAATGTTTTTGGACATTGAAGAAACAAAAAGTTTTTCTTTTTCCAAAAACAAAGTATGGTAGATTTTGCGGTGTTGATCGCATTGTACATATACGTAAGAAAAAAAAAGATTAATAATAAAATTTAAATATTGTAATGATGGCATATTGTATTATAACGGTTTATCTTTTTTCGAATCGCGATGTTGCGTATCGCGTTCTGCGTCGAAGTGGCGTCTGATGATTTTAATAAATTGTTCGTCTCGTAACTTAAAAAATTTTAACATTTGATCTCTCAGATTTGGACTAACAAAAATTGTGCCTCGCTCTTCGACATTACCGAGTCGAAATTTGTAAATGCGCTTGCTCTTCAAAATGTGACAATTGCAAAAATAAAGCTATCTTTGCGGTTTATTTAGACGATAAAACGCATGATTAAGTACGCGAAGTATCTCGTGCATGTAATAGCAGAAATAAATTTACTAATGTGTACTTAAGATATTTGCAATGCTTTTGAGCTTCCATATTCATTAAGCTTCCGTACACGCAAATACACGCATTCGTACATATTTAAGAAGCCGGCGAGAACGAAAATTTTTGGAAATATTTCCACTGAGAAATATCTCCAAAGAAAAATTAATGTATCATTAATATGCTAGTTCCATTTCGAATAAAATGAATACAGACATACGTCTGAATTTCGCGAAATGTGAATTATTAGCCCAAGTATAAACAGTCTACTTCCTGAAGTATAAAAAATGTATAAATGTTTATCATAAATCATTACTAACGTGGCTCCAACCTGGAAACTAATGCAGAAATTTTAAAAAATCTTATTTTTATGAATAGTTATATTTAAATCTCTATTGAATCTTGAAGTATATAACCATGTGATACTTTTATATGTAAATAAATGTTCTATGTCAAGTCTGCTTTATAGAAAATGTGAATTAAAAATGTAAAAATTGATTTTTTTTAATTGATAATAAAGTAATGAAATGTGTAAACATCGATTACATACTTGCATTAGTATAATCAGTAGTATTTTGAGATTATATATATACACGTGTACATATATATATAATGTATATATATATATATATATATATATATATATATATGTATATATATATATATATACACACACACACATATATACATACATACGTACACTTATATATATATATCTATACACACATACACATTATTATTATTATTATTATTATTATTATTATTATTATTGCGCATATATTATCTTTGCGCATATATTAACAATCTTTCCCTTCTCTCTTTTTCTAATTTTAAAGTATCCCTCCAGATTTCTTCATCTATTTCCATTTTTCCACAACATATGGCCATCGATCTAGCTAGAACCATTACCAAGTCAAATTCGTGCCGAGATCTATACTTCCTATTTCTAATCTCTAGACATTCTTCTTCAGCCATCTAAAAAAAACAGATATATATGTCAAATCGACATTGCGTAACGTAGATATATCAGTATTAAAATTCAATTATATATAACCTTTTGAGCTTCTTTAGAGAGAACAACTTTTCCCGTGTGTTTTAGCGCTTCCAAGTATTGACGAATATTTATCAATCGGGTCTCATCCTTTATATATTCATATGCAGCTTCAAATATATTATCGTACATATTTTCCGACTCTTCGTCATTTAAACGAACTTGAATAGACTGTAAACATATCAGAGATTACTATTTTCACAGATAAAATATATTGCACGATATAAAATAAAATTGATGCTTACGGGAATAAATGATTTTTCTTCAGAAAAAATCAAGATTGGAATGTCCGTTTCGTGTTCCACTGTACAATATTTTATATCGTATGTTAATTTTTGGTATCTACCTAGGTCAACAAGAGCTTTATAATTGTTTATGCCTTTCTGTCTGATTTTTCCGAAAGTTAATCTGGTCTCATTTATCACAAGATGTGTATGATCACTCAGTTGAAGAATACCGCTTTCTAGCCAGTTGTGATCTTCGTAAGTCTTTCTAAAAAAAATAATGCAATCTTATTTATTTATTTTTTCGTACATGTTTACTTAGCGAGATATACATACTTTGGAATCATATTTAACAGGTTCAAATTTTCCAAAGTTAGGTCCAAAAAATAGCTTTTTTTTACAAGTTGTGTTAAAAATTCATAAAACTCTCTAGGAAACGTTCTATGTTTGCTGACAGAAATATTCGTTATGTTCACCGGAAATGCGCCAAGACAAAACCTCTCTGTGATATCCTCTCTGTAATATCTGAAAGTAATACATCAAATTACAGAGCAAATAAAAAAATGACATTCATAACAAGTATTATATAAAAAATAGTGAAATATAAAATATATAATGATATTTTAAAATATAGATACCTACATTGAGGAAATCAAGTTATACATTACATATTCCGCGGCTATATGATCTCCGAACAGCAACTGACTTAATAATAAGTGTAAATCATTTTTGATGAGCTGAACTTTAGGAACGATTTCTAGATATACAATTGGTTCTTTTGTAGGCTCAATTACTTTTATTGCGTGTAATTTAGGCACTTTGGAAAATGATTCAATTCTTTCTTCATTTGTCTGGCTGGAACAACCACTCGCCTCATCATTGGGAAAGTGAAATGTACCAAACTTAGGATCTAATGAGACAAATCCTATTATATCAATCTCTTTGTTCAGTTTCAAAGGTAACTCACCATAAATCTGTACCAAAAAAAAAACTATTGATTAGAAAAAATATCTTTGTTAGATAAATATAAATATTTCGAAATGTTTTCTTGTCTGTATATTTTCAATAATATTCACCTTTACTATGCAAGCGTGCAATGGTTTATTATCATTACATTTAAAAGGAAAAGATAAAGTGGACTCTGGATCTAAGAATATAGCCAGACATCTGTCTTCATAATCATCATTTTGTTCATAATCATCGTTTGTGCTTTCATTAATATCATTCATTGTAACTTCTTTTGTGAAAGACTCAGAACAATCTATTTTTTCTGAATCAGTATTATTCGAACTTCTTTTACAGACATTGTCATTTTGAATAGTTATTTCACTTATATGTGTGCTAGTAATTTCTTCCTCCCTTGCCCAGTTATTTAAACCAGGTGTAGTGATTACAACATAGATATTCCTCATTGAGTATTTATTTTTGTCAGACTCAAAACATACTTCTTCATGTGGCTGTACAAAAAAAATAAGTTAATTAAATACCTGTGCAAAATTGTTGTTAACTGTAAATTTTTGAGAAAAAACTGTTAGCAATATTATACATGAGATAAACTGTTCTTATAGTATCCCACACCTGAACTGCGTATTTTTTTATCTAGGCTCTGTGTGATATCCATTGCTTATTTTAAAGAGCAGGGACAATATAATTCACTTACAAAGCCATGTATAAATATGTGTAAACTTTAAATAAATGTAAAAATGAAATAAATACATATAACACAATAGAAAAAAAAAAAATACAAAACAATTTACCAAACAATGAGCTACGTCAATATATAGTCCGCATCTAATATCACTCTCTCCAGTCGTGGTATTTTTCACTTCATATTGTTCAAGATAATATTCAGGATCGTACATATCCTGAATCATTCCCTGAAATCTGACCAATTGTTTATCTTTGAAATTGCAAATTGGAGCAGAATTTAATAAAGGTATTTGTTTCCAAACATCTGGGTCTTTTAACATTTGCTGACAGGATATCTGATTTGCAATGTAATATTCTATTGTCCACTTATCTACACTGATTGCTGAAATAAAACATCAAGATGGTAAACAGTAACACGGTATAATAAAGTCACTTAACCTATTTTTCCATGAAATGTAAACTTGAATTAAGATTTGCAGTTTATTTGCTTTTATAAATGTTTTTATTTGATATTTGATATCAAATGAGAATTGCTATCGCGTTAAGATACAAAAATTCTTGTGATTTCCTTGGAATTATCTTTGTATCATTTCAGTTTACTGCATCAGAATTATGATCAGTATATAAAAATAACAGAAAAATATGAAATTCCCAAAAATTCATGTACAAAAATTTTCTGATTGCTCTCTCTAAAATCTATAGCGTTGATGCTTTCAAGTGTAAACAATAAACTTGTCAATAAACAGTTCGAAGAAATTTGAAATCTCAAAACAAGACACAATTTAGTAAAATTCATATGAATATAAAAGACATAAAATATAAAAATGCTTACACGACATTTTGAAAACACGTATAGCTCAATTTGTCATCAATATTATGAAAACTTTGACGAACAGAAAATCTGATGGCAAGAGATAAACAATCTTCTACTTTATGTAGTCACGTAGTACCATACAACGTGATACAACGTAGCGGCAATTCACGTGGCAGTAAGGGCCTGAGCACAATATAGTAAGCCTGTAGGAATAGAGTAAACTATTTTTCAGTGAAGTAACAAAAAACGGAAATAACGAAATGGGCAATTCTCTTTTCACACTGCCTTACTGCCTTACTGTTAGTTAATGAAAGGCGCGTGTCAAAAAACGCGAAATAATTACTTGCATAAACAAACATGAAATAACTTCAAGAAACCTTACTCTATACTGCCTATTCCTATTGTAGACGGCCCTTTAGAAATAGAAGTTAAATGTACTACTAGTTAAATGTACTATACAATGACAAAAAATAAAATATAACATATAAATACAGTATGTCATGGCTGTATGATATAAGCTTATAGTTATATACATTTGTTATATTTTATTTTTTCGCATTGTACATTACATTTAATCTTCGTTTTTAATTCTTATTCCTAATATTTTCTCTATTGTGCTCAGGCCCTAAGCTCTGGATTACGTTCTAAAATCTTACCTTGATAATCAAAAAACTATAGTACACGTGACGTGAAATATAGTATTTTAATAGCCAAGTTAGGATTTTGAAATGCACTCCAGGGCCTAAACATACTAGAACAGTGTACAACATAATGAAGATTATTTATATCAGAGGATCGATCATGTGTAATTTTAATGTGAAAGATAAAAGTTTTTTCTCTTGTTACCTCATGCATATAGAATTTTTCAGAATATATTGACAAGAGGCAGTAAAAACATAAAATGAACAATAGAAAAGTTTAAGCGTCAATCTGGTTTTGGTTTGGTGCTGGAGTTGGTAAAACGTGACACACACGCTCACACACACACACATACACAAAATCTGTCTTTATTGCACTTTAAATGTAGAATAAAGATAGACTAAAGCGCATGAATGCCTAAAGCGAATAACGCACTCTACATGATCGACCATTTGAAAATTTCTACTTCTTATTTCCATTACTGAACACAAGATGGTACTCAAGTCGCGAAACTTGTGTGGATCATATCTAGATATTTTGTATAGCACATGACTATAGACTCCATCTAGATATATTTCGTACATGTTGCACTTTGTGAGCGACATTCTGTGTTATCCTATGCCTTTTCGAGTTAAATTTGCATTAAAACAACAATAACACATGTAAATTGTTCAAAAGAAATAACAAGTTCTTCTATACAAAGTTCTGCTCTAAACTATTATAAAAACGTAAAGACAAAACTGAAAATGTAGAAAACAATGTATATATGAAAAATTATAAAATATTTCTACGTGTAAATAACAAATTTGTTTAAATAAATATGCGCATATAAGTAAAGACAAGAAAACAAAAAATACATAAAAACTATAATATAATAAAATAAATTGTAAAAAACTAATATTAAAACGTTAAAGATTTTTAATTCTAACGAAAGATATAAAATTATTATAAAAAAGCCACAATATTAAAAAGTACAAATAAAAATAAATTTAAGTATACGTGAATTTTTACACATATATTAAAATTTTTTTATACATTTACGTAATTAAGATGCACACAAAATATACAAAATATTCTATATATATATATATACATTATAATATATAAATTAGTAATATATTAACATATATATATGTATATTAAATTTTTAGGTTTTGTTTAGTTAGCAAATTGACAGTATAACAAAAAAGTTTAAAAATATACTATTTTGTATTTGTCAAGAGCGTTTATAGAAAAAATTGAGCTCAGTGAAACGCTCACCTTGACTCTCTTTATTAATATCAAAGATTAGTACCGCTCGGAAGGAGAAAAAATGAAAAAAAAAATTCGTGTGATAATTCCTTATGTGATTAATAAATATTAAAATAAAAATATCTACACCTACTACCGCGAAGTACTCATTATTTCTAACGAAATAAATAAATATATATATAAAAAGGTCAAAACCAAAATAATCTTTTAGATAAACTTTAGATCTCTCTGAATTTCTTACGCACCGCACGTTTACTTACTTGAATACATACGTGATAAAAAAAAAAAAGAAATAAGTAAGCGTGTAATTTTGTTATTTTACAATCATGTTTAAATATTCTCTCAGACATACAGTACCAGAATAAACGTTACGTAGACTATATCAGTATTCCGTCTGAAAAGGTCAAAGCATTTCGATGTGAAGATTGAGCGATGCTTATCGCTGAATGAAATAAGTCACGGGCTTTGAATGAGACACGGGTTATTTCGGATCGTTTAAAGAAAGCACGGATTTTCATTCTTGAGCTTAAATAGAGTAAATAAGATTCGGATGTAGAATGTAGAATAGAACGGAATAGACAAATTGCAAAAAACGTGGTCTTGAAACGAGTCCCAGGGTGGCGGACGCGTCGACGAGGGTAGTGGGTCACAAGATTGGGTGGCGCGAACGAGCAGGAGAGCGCGCGTGCGCGCGCACAAAGCTGAGCAAAGGCGAGCCGATAGAGAGAGAAAGAGAGAGAGAGAGAGAGAGAGAAAGAAAGAGAGAGAGAGAGAGAGAAAGAGAGAGAGAGCAAGATATATTCCCCGTGCGGTTCTCCCGATTTAGGCACGGCAGTCTAACGGCGACCGCGGTACCGTTGACACTGTGCATTGACTTGCACTTATATCTCGGACAGGCCAAGGCCCCCTAGCTCCTTCCTGTCTCTTACACATACTTTCCGATCCACGTTTCTCTTTCTCTCTCTTTTCTCCTCCTTTTTCTTTCTTTCCTTTCCTCCCGTTTGTCCTCTCTTCCGCCTGCTCCCCTACTCTCTGTGTCTCCCTACCTTCCGTTTATATTCTCTTCCCTGTGTTTCTCTTCGCCGGTTTCTCTCGCTCTCTATCTATATTTCTCTCTTTCCTCCGTCGTCTGCTTTTCGTTTTACACGCGACACGCGCACACACACGCGCTGCTCCAACAATACACGCGTGACCATTCCGCGTACCACACACACGTACGAGCACGCGTGACAGACGTAAAGAGACAGAGAGAGGGACAGACAGTCGTCGCTTCGTCGAGACGGTGTATGTACGCGTACGTATCGTAGGACATACGTATACGCGGAGGTGCGCGCGCAGAATCGGCGGCTAAGCGGTAGGCAGCTATAGCAGCGAAAAGCAAGCAAGCTAACCGGAGTATAATCGTCATCGTCGTCGTCGTCGTCGCCGTCGCCGTCGTCGTCGTCGTCGTCGTCGTCGCCGTCGCCGTCGCCGTCGCCGTCGTCCTCGTCCCCGTCTCGTCTCCGTTTGTCGTTGTCGTCGATGCACGGATGCTATCATCGCGGCACGTCGCCGGTCTCCACCAGCGATAACACGCGCTACCATCGCAAGTTACTATCAGGTAGCGGTCGTTACTGCTGTGGCTTCGCCTATATGAAAAGAGGCATCAAGGAGAAAAGGCCGTCCCGCCGTGAACCATAGCCGTATTCGCGTCGCCACCGCCACCGCAGTCGATATCACCTCCAGTAGAGGGTGGGAAGAAACGAGGGCCGACGGAACCACGAGGAACTGAAGTGCGCCGCGATCTCGCGACGGTCTCGCGCATCTCGGTGCGACACGACAGAGAGAGTGGCACCCCTCGGGGTAAGAACGCGGGTGCATGCGTGTTTTTTTTTTTACGTACGATCGAGAAGATGTTTGTTTTCTTTAAAGAGACTACATTAAGTCTTTTATTATTAGTTCGGTTTCTGTGAAATTTTCGAATGTAACAGTATTTTGCCGCACATCCTACCGCGAGTGCGTGCACGCGTGCGTTCTCCGTTTCGCCTGTCTCTCGTTTTCATCTCGCGGCATCGCCCACTCCCCCCCTCCTCCTCATTCGCTCTCTTTCGTCGGATTTGTGCGCTCCGATTTTCTCGCTCTTTCTCTCGTCTCCCTCTTCTCGCTGCAGCCCCTGTGAAGTCTCTCGCAACCCCAGCGCGACTCCGGTTTCTCTCTCTCTCTCTTTCTCTCTCTCTCTCTCTCTTTCTTTCTCTCCCAGGCACCGCTCCGTACGTCCGAATCGCCATCGGCGCGCCGTCCTCGCCATCATCATTCAATGCGAGCGGTGGAGGTGGCGGCGGTGGTGGTAGCGACGGCGGCGGCAGCGGCGACAAGCGGCAGCGAGCGGTGATACAGTGCCACCTCTTCGATTCTAGGGAATCGAGCGGTCGGTCGGTCGCGGAGCGCGAAAGGTGCGCGAGAGTGCTCGAGAGCGGGCCGAAAGAACGCGGATAAATGTGTCGGTCGCGTTACAAGACGTGAAGCACGAGAGCGAGAACGGGAGAACGAGCGTGTACGCGGGAACGTGAGAGAGAAAGAGTGAAACACAAGGGAGAAAAGAAGAGAAGAGAGGAGTGGAGAGAGAGAGAGAGAAAAAGGGGCGGGAGGGATCGAAAAAGAGAGAGAGAGAGAGAGAGAGAGAGAGAGAGAGAGAGAGAGAGAGAGCAGCGGGGGCAGCTAGAAGGAGCGCACAGCAGAGAGACGAGCGAGTTTATTTTTAGTGGCAGAAGGTGAAGAAGGCGGGCGAAGAGCACCGCGCGGAGTAGTATTAAGCGGCAGCACAGTGGCCCGATGAAGCGGCGTATGTGACACCGGGTTTTCCTCTCTCTTGCCACCGTCGAGGAAAAGGAGACACCTCGCAGACATCTTGCTGCCACCGTCCACGGTGAGTAGTATGTCGCCACACTGCCGTCGCCACCCCCACCTACCCCTCCATCTAGTCGTCTTCTTCCACCACCTACCCTCTATCTCTCTCCCCTCTCTACCTTCACCTCCTCCTCCTCCTCCATCTTCTCGTTCTCGCCCACCCTCGCCCGTTACCGTCCCTTCTCTTCGTCGAGGATTGATTCGCCATTCCGCCCACCAGGACACGAGTCTCTCTCTCTCTCTCTCTCTCTCTCTTTCTCTCTCTCTACTATCTCTCTATACACTTCCTCTTATATACTTTATCTTCTTTCCCTCATCTCTATCTTTCGTTCTTTCCTTTTGTCATTTTCTTTTGATTTAAATATATCTTTTCCCTTTCTCACTCTCTCTCACTCTCTCTCTCTCTCTCTGTCTTTCTCTCTCTCTTTCTGTATCCATCAAACTATATTTATTCCTTCCTCTCTCTCTTGCTCCTCTCGACTTCTTGCTCATCCCCTCTTTTTACTATGTCCTCTTTGTGCCATTTATCCATCCATCCATCCATCCATCCATCCATTTTACCATAGCCGTCCACGTACGCGCGCACAATTTTTTTTCCACCCTTTTTTTTTCTCTCTTCCCTTCGCACTGAACACCTCTCGGGGAGCTGTTCCTAGTACTCTCATCCCCACCAGATTCCCCATCCACATCGCCCTCGCCACTCCTCTCCATGGAGTTACAAAAATTATGTAACGCGCTCAATCCGGGCGTTTCTTGTTCCGCTCTCCTTTCTCATCTTCCTCTATTAGATATCTGTCCCCCGCGGCCTGCCTTCGCTTCTCCGTATTCCTCGCTCTTTCTCTTCCCTGAGCTGTGCTGTTCTTCCGAACATTATTTCGGGAGTGCTAGCGGACCCTGCCAGCAGACCCTGATAGCAAGAAAGAGAGAGAGAGAGAGGAAAAGAAAGAGAGAGAGAAATATAGACTCCTTTACATGACGCGTGTCTCAGAGATCGGGCAGGCGCATTGTCGAGAAAACTGTTTCGATTAGGAATGTAAACTAGTCGCGTGTGTACACCATCGCAAGATATGTATGTCGCTGACAATTCCGCGACCACAATTGATGAAATTTGCGAGGATTCGCTCGCGCGCGTCTCCATCCCGCGTCTCGACCTCGTTATTTGGCCTTACATTCGACCACATTTTTACCATACGAATCAGTTTATAAACGTCGTTCCGCTCCGAAATTTTCTCTCGCGATGAGATTGTTTTTTTTTTTTTTTTTTTTACATTTTTTTTTTACGTTCACATACACAGGCGACGAGCGATGAGCACCCTCGAGCCCGGAAACCTCGAAACTTCGACTCGTCACGCGACACGAACGTTAAAAACCCGACTTACAGGAGAAGTTTATCGCAGATATGTAAACGCTTTGTTTTGAAAATTTTTTAGTCACAGTTTTTTTTTTTTTTTTTTTTTTTCTCATACACAAGTATAACAAGTGTACATAAGTATTAATATCTTGTTTTCTCTATCAGAGCTCGGATCTCTCTGCGTAGCGTGGATACGCGCTAATAGTGTCTATTTTCGAGTAGACTCGCTTCTTCACAGTCGTGGTTTTGTTCGATGAATCGCAAAGGCCTCGACTTCGAGGAAAGGATTACACAGAACGGCCTCGTCAAATACGCTTAATTTACGCACGGATCGCATGTCTCTTCATACGTACGTAAATCGGTCCCATGCGGTTACGTCGCGTGAGAGCTTATGGTCTTTCGTTGGCTTCCGATAGATCTCTGCGTGAAGATGCGCGATTCTTCCCGAGAAAAATAAAAAATCTCTTTTTCATAGAACGCATACAACGAATAAAATAGAGATTGTTACATTAAAAAAAAAAAAAATGAACTTTTTTTTCCGAACGTGTGTTCACAAATATCAGCTTCTGGCTAGCACCGATTCTAATACGCGTAGGGTACAGTCGAAGACTCGCCTTTGTCCCGCTTTCGTGGTATCGACCCGATATACGGGTGACCTAGACTCACTTGCCGAGGAAATATATCCAACCTTTGACAGCCGCTCGTTCGTTGGTTCGTTCGTTCGTTCGTTCGTTCGTTCGTTCGTTCGTTGGTTCGTTCGGTCGTTCGTTCGGTCGTTCGTGTTATACGACAACGAAACTGGCTCGACGAATCGATAAAGGGTCGCTAATAATTACGCACGTGCGACGAACTCCACGCTCGACGACGTCGACGATCTCCGCTCGATGTCGATGTCGCAGTCGGCGGTTCACAATCAGGCGGAACGACGACGACAACGACGACGACGACGACGACGACGGGGAAAATAGTGCGTTCGCGCCAGATAGGAAATGCTTTGAATAGGAGACCGTTAAGTTATTTCGGTGCTGCCGACGACGGTTGGAATTTAGTATTGAACCGTGATCGCACGCGCGAACCTTCTTTTTCTCCCCTCGTCTTCTCGTCTCGGCTCGACGACTCGGCGCGGCGATTTAGCGAGCGCGTATAAACCCGAAGGAAGATGCGCGGCGACCGTTTATTTTTCCGTTCGCCGCGGAGCATCAAAATGTTTGGCGGATTACGAGCGCGCCTCCGCTGTTGATGGAACAACTTGGACATCGAGTGTCTTTACCGAGGTCTGACGCGCGTAACTCCGTCGACCTTCGTGAACTTGGCGCACTCCACTTTTAATAAATTAAATGTTCTGCAAAAGAGATATCAGTTATTTCGTTTAAATCACGCAAACAAAAAAAAAAAAAAAAAAGGAAAAATACACAGCCGATAATGAAATAAAAAAGTTTGCCGGATTAATTTTCATTCAAAGTTGGTGTTTTCGTAGTTGATCGTAGTAATTTTTTTGTTCTCGTTTGTATAGTCAAGCTGTTAAATAGTTACGGTGATTTAAACGATTGGCTTGAAAATGGATTTTCTGGTCAATTGTTTTGGTATTTTCGCAATCCGCTCGCGTGTCATGTTATTTGCGTTTGTAGTGAATTTCATTTTGTTTGTAAAGGCAAGTAAGTCGCGCGGCATTTTCAAACCATTTAATTTAATTAATGATAATTACCATATTTAAAAATACACGTGGACACCAATCTGTCAATCTGTCAGAACGAGAGAGAGAGAGAGAGAGAGAGGGAGAGCGCGCGCGAGACTGATTTTTGTCGGGACATATGCCAAGATATACGAAGACCGATTAAGGGTTAATAACGTCGTCGGGATAACGACTGCCATCAAGTGTTCCTGGCTTGTTTATAGGATGTAGAATTGCGGTATGAGATTCTAAACCGCGGCTCGCACGTCTCGTTCCCGGGAGATGGAAAGCCGAGCGTAGCGCGCGCTTGCAAGTAGAAATAGACAGACGTTGTCAGACGCGCGCCTCATGAAAGTAATGGAGCAGTGACGGTCTGATCGATTAATCGATGTTGGACAGTTTTTCTCTATTTGGAAACCGATCCTCTTCAACGACTTCAGACTATCGATTGTTTAGTGGTTTCCTGTGAAGTATGCTTTAGTTATAAAAACCAATTTGTATGCACAATTTTTATTTTGTCGTAGAAGCGAGAATATTGAAATTATTTTTTTTTATTGCGTAATAATAATTATTTTTATATTAATTGCGCAAAAATAAATCAATTTTAAGTTTTGTGTCCCTTCGCGCGAAGAGATTATTAATTTTTTTTAGATTGGTTACGGTTATAACACTAATTTATATTTACATATTCTCTCTTCTCAAAGAGATATCTAAGAATTTTGCATATTCCGCTGTCTTTACTCGCGGATTATAAATAAGAATTTCTTTCCGTTATCGGACTATGAACTGGTTAAAAATATAGTTCGTATAATATATTTAATGGTTATAAATAAATCGAATAAATTTATATTCATCCGCCAACGGTAACTATTATTCGTAATTCGCATTATAGATGCACGTGAAGTTTACGCTCGCCGAGACGAGCCAATTTGCGACTCCTAAAGTAAATTTTTTGGAGACGATTCAGCGCGGCATTTCGAATGTCATGGGTCACGTGAAATGGCACAAATGTTCCAAAACACTTAGTTCATGAAAAGTTAAAAAAAGAAGTAACTAAAACTTAGCGTACGAATAATTCAAGTACTCTTTTAAAAATCAAACGAACGAGATTAAGTCAAGTACAAAGCAAAAAACAAACGGTATAAGATTCATTCCAATAACTGAAATAAAATCAAATAAAATTGAAACAAATCATCACTAATATTAATTTGGATCTTTCGTTTAGTTGAATAATTGAAACATAAACGAAAATTAACGGGAATAAATTACGGGAAAATACAATATAATATAGTCGCAACTGCGAATATAATTATTAAATATTAGAAGAGATTAATTAAAATTATTGGGATAATAAATTGAAGCAAACCAATGAAGAGAGAGAGAGAGAAAGAGAGAGAGAGAGAGAGAGAGAGAGAGAGAGAGAGAAAAAAGGAATGAAAAAGAAACCATTGAGGCAACCTTCCGAAGGTTGTATTGATGTATTGTTATATTGTTAAAAATAATATAGGCCTCGCTTTTTACCGCTCATGTCTTCGGAAAAAAAATTTGATAAAATCCAGATGTGTCCGATATTATGCGTAACTTAAGATTTTTATTATTAACTTTTTCGCAGCATTGCGAGCATAAATTTTTTCTTATATATATACAGGGTGTCCCAGAATTGCCGTACAATCTCTCGTAGGCAGATAGAAGGAGTAAAACTGAGTCGAAAAGTCCTGAACCATTTT